TAATATAGAGATGGATCAAGAGGAAGAAACCGTGATGCAAAAGGACATCCGATGGACACTCAGTTTATTGGGACCCAATCCATCCTCAGAGGCGATACTGCAGGTCGTAGCACAAGCCAGACAAGCGCAAAAAGAGCGAGATGACCGGGACAGAGCGTCACAGGGGGATTTGCTACACCCCCCGAGAAGTATTGGGGAAATACCAAAGAAGGTAAATTATGCAGCGTTTAAATCATTTGTTGACAATGAAATGGAAATTGACAGTTACTTGCAAGACTTTGAACGTCAGTGTGCACTGGAGGGATTAGACTCCACCAAATGGGCTGCAGTCGTCAGCAGTAAATTGTCAGGTAGAGCAGCCGAGGCGCTGCGAGCAGTACCTGAGGGGGACATACATAATTATGAGAAAATAAAAGACATTTTGTTGGCCAGATATGCGGTAACTCCGGAGGCATACCGGAAAAAGTTTAGAGACCTGAGAAAGACTGGGAGAGATTCCCATACGGAATGGGCTTTTCGCCTGCAGCGGGCAGCCCGCAATTGGATGAAGGGCTGCCAGGCAACCACCCTAGAAGAAGCTTTGCAACTAGTGATACTGGAGCAATTTTTTAATCATACTGCAGAGGACATAAAAGACTGGGTAAAAGATAGGAAACCAAAAACCGTGGAGGAGGCCGCTAGGCTAGCGGACGAGTACCAGGATAACAGGAGGAAGGAGCCAGGGGCGAGCAGACCACCATTTAAGCCTCAGTACACAGCTCCAACAAACCCGGCTCCACCTAGACCTGCCATAGGTAACCCCCCACCGAACCCAGCAAACACACCTCGACCTCCTGCAGTGTGTCACTACTGCAAGCAACCAGGACATTACAAGCATCAGTGCCCTCGCTTAAACCGGGGAAGCTGGGAACGGCCAGCCCCACAACAACCCAGGGCAGCTGCTCACTGTGTGCAACAGGAACACACAGGCCCTGCCCTTAACCACGAAGAACAGTGGAGCGTATTACATGAGGTCAATCCAGTACAAGCTGGGGGGACAACCGGGACCACCACCGCCAATGGATTACCGTCGATGGCGTGGGGGCCCGGGCGCTGAGAGACTCTGGGGCTACTTTGACTGTGGTACAGCCCCACACGGTCAGAGCACAAGCTCGCACCGGACGCACAGTCGCTGTAAGGGTGGCTGGGGGCGCTATTCACAAACTGCCCACCGCTAATATGTTTGTTGATTGGGGTTCCGGGTCTAAACAACTGGAGGTGGGGATTATGCAAGAACTGCCCGCCGAGGTTTTGTTGGGAAATGATGTGGGATGCCTAACCTCTCAACTAGCCCGAGACCCCCCTGCCGAGGCCTACCCGGTTACCACCCGAGCTCAAGCCAGACTGGAAGCTCCGCTGCACTCTGAGGAGAACCAGGTAAGAGTCGAAATACCCCCTTTACCCGATCCCCCCGTACCCTTCTGGGATACCCCCCAGGGGTTTGAACAGGAACAGCGTACTGACCCCACATTAGAAGGCTATAGGAAGGCCGCGGCCGCTACCCCCGAGAACAACCCGCACGAAAAATTTGAGTGGTATAAGGGGTTGCTATATAGGGTAACCGAGGGGGTGGGACAGGGGGCTACCCAGGTCATAAAAAGACAGTTAGTTGTGCCCCGTAAATTTCGGGCTGAGTTGTTAAAACTCAGTCATGACATTCCCCTAGCAGGACATTTAGGGGTCAAAAAGACCAGAGACAGGTTAACTCAAACCTTCTTCTGGCCCAGAGCTACCCAGGACCTAAAGTACTATTGTAGGACATGTGATGTATGCCAAAGGGTAGGAAAAAGGGGAGACCTTCGGAAGGCTAAGCTTCACCCCCTACCCATCATCGAACAGCCCTTCCACCGAGTAGCGGTGGATTTAATAGGTCCCCTCAGTCGCCCCAGTCCGTCGGGCAAAAAGTTTATCCTAACGGTGGTTGACTACGCCACTAGATACCCGGAGGCAGTCGCCCTCACCAATATAGAGGCCGAGACCGTGGCAGAGGCCCTTATTCAGATATTCACCCGAGTAGGTTTCCCGCAGGAGATACTCTCCGATCGGGGGACGCAGTTCACAGCCACCCTGACGCAACAACTGTGGCAGAGCTGTGGAGTGCAGCCCCTGTTCAGCGCCCCGTATCATCCCCAGACTAACGGGCTCTGTGAACGTTTCAATGGCACTCTAAAACAGATGCTAAAAACTTTTACAGAGTCCCACAAGAATTGGGAAAAATTCCTTCCCCACCTTCTGTTTGCCTACCGTGAGGTGCCCCAGGCCTCCACTGGGTTCTCCCCCTTCGAACTCCTGTACGGGAGAAAAGTTCGGGGCCCACTGGAGCTCGTACGGGAACACTGGGAGGGCAATACAGATGAGGGGGGAGTCCCTATCGTCCAGTATGTCCTGGAGTTCCGGGACCGTCTGCGGGCCCTCACCGAATCGGTTCGGGAGAACCTGCAGGCGGCCCAGGAGGACCAGAAAAAGTGGTACGATAGGAGGGCCCAGGATAGAGTGCTGGACTTAGGGCAGAAGGTACTGGCTCTGAGGCCCGTTAAAAAGGACAAGCTGCAAGCAGCCTGGCAGGGACCCTTTAAGGTAGTGGAACAGGTTAGCGAGACTACCTACATCGTGAGCAAATGCTCAGATGAAAGGCTGACCAAAGCCTTCCATGTGAACATGCTCAAACCATATTTTGAAAGGACAGAGGAGGTGGGCGCCGTGTGCGCCCCCGCCACAGAGGATAGTGAAGGGCTTCCCCTGCCTGACTTACTGGAGACCACCCCCTGTACTATTGACCAAGTAAGCTTGGGGCAAAATTTAGACCACCTGGAGAAAGGTGAGGCTACTCAACTGCTGCAGGGATACCGAGAGATGTTTTCCGCTACCCCCGGCTATACCTCCGCTGCGGTCCACCGTGTGGAAACCCAGGGAGAGACGCCCCTACGGCAACAGCCATATCGGATCCCGGAAGCAGTACGTGAGAGTATGCTCACCGAGTTAAGGGATATGTTACGGCTAGGGGTAATAGAACCCTCCCAAAGTCCTTGGGCCTCCCCGGTGGTACTAGTACCGAAGCGCGACGGCACTACGCGCTTCTGTGTAGATTACCGGAGGCTTAACGACCGTACCATAACCGATGCCTACCCCATGCCTAGAATAGATGAGCTCTTAGATCGTATGGCGGGGGGGAACTACTTGACTACCCTGGACCTGTGCAAGGGTTATTGGCAGATCCCCCTGGAGCCTGCGGCCATCCCCAAGTCGGCGTTCGTCACCCCGTTTGGGCTATACCAATTCAAGGTTATGCCCTTTGGGATGAAGAACGCCCCGGCTACGTTTCAGCGGATGGCGGATAGGCTCCTGGAGGGGTTGCAGGACTTCGCATGTGCGTATCTAGATGATATTGCCATCTATAGCCGCACATGGGGAGACCATCTGGGTCATGTGTCCAGGGTACTCGAACGAATCCACCTCGCCGGGCTCACTTTGAAACCCGACAAATGTCACGTAGGCCTAGCCGAGGTCCAGTATCTAGGCCACCGGGTCGGCTCCGGTAGACAACGCCCAGAGCCCGCTAAGGTAGAGGCCATAGCTAACTGGCCCCAACCCCGGACCAAAACCCAGGTACTGGCTTTCTTAGGGACGGCCGGGTATTACAGGAAGTTCGTCCCAGAATATAGCGCCCTGGCCAAGCCCCTCACGGACCTTACCAAAAAGGCCCTTCCCAAACAGGTCGCCTGGACCCCAGAGTGCACGGACGCTTTCCAGAAGCTCAAAGCGGCATTGAGTGAGGCCCCTGTGTTGGCAGCACCCGATTACACTAAACAATTTCTTGTCCACACAGATGCCTCCATGTTTGGGCTGGGAGCCGTGCTAAGCCAGGTGGGGGCGGATGGCATGGAACACCCGGTGGCATACCTCAGCCGTAAACTTTTGCCCCGAGAAGTCAGCTATGCCACCGTAGAAAAAGAGTGCTTGGCCCTCGTGTGGGCCCTCAAGAAACTTCAGCCCTATCTGTATGGGCGAGCGTTTACCCTTATGACCGACCACAACCCCCTGGTATGGCTCAACCGGGTAGCTGGTGACAACCCCAGGCTACTCCGGTGGAGCCTAGCTCTCCAACCATACAATTTTACCATGCAGTACCGTCCGGGTAAACAAAATGGGAATGCGGATGGACTGTCCCGCCAGACCGAACTGGACACCTAAAAACATACTTTCATCGGACATCCCCAAGCCAACCCGACAGGGTCTAGGCGGGTATGCCGACCTATGGACTTATAGGGGAGCAGTGTGAAGAAATGACTCCGTTCATCAGGATTTCTACCTTTGTTGTGCAGTTAATTCACCCAATTCAGCTGGAATTCAGGATATAGCTTTAATTTCTACCCTTCGGATGGATTCAGGCGAATTCCCCGTGTAAAATCTAGGTGGCCGCCATTTCGGCACTTTACACGTGGCCGCGGCCATTTTACGTGCGAACAGCGGTGTTTGCCCGTCAACGCGTGGAACTAAAATCGGATACGCAAACAGGCGAACACCGCTGAGACCTCCATACATCCAGAACTTCGCACGGGAAAAACCGAATCACCGGCCGTTCGGTAGTTACATGCAACTTCGTATGGGGATTTCAACGACCACGAAGATGCGAACGGATGGCAGGGCTTTCGTCTCTTTTATTCGCCTAAACGGAGACCGACCGCAGGGCCAAAACTTATGGAACTATTTTCGGCTAGATGATCCGTGCGGTCGGTCAAAACTTTAGTGCTCCATAACTCCCGAACCATTCATCCGAATGGACTGATTTTTTGACATGTTGTCCCCACAAATGAGAACTATCCAGCGGTGCCCAATTTAAAGGTGTACCCCCTGTTTTTGGGGTACATCCAGAACTGGGGTAAAATAGTGCACGTTTTAATGAAGTTAACTGTTTATCAGAGGGGAGGGAGGTAGGGGCTGTAACCTATACCTGATTGGTGATTTAATGCCTCCCCCTGGGTGTGTATTTCTTGTCTGTAACCCTAATAAAAAGCAGGCTGGAGATTCCAGACCTCAGATCTACTTGTATCCTGATTCTGGACTCTGACTGTTATTTGGGAATTCGTATGCTTTACCAAGGGGATTATCTTGGGAAGCTGTTATATTTCTTATGGACTTCATTGCTTGGAACTACCTTAGACGCTGGCATTGCAGGAGGAATTATCAAAGCGGTTCAGCTATACTTGATTTCCTTACACAGAGTATCCCAGGCTGGCTGTATATAGTGATAGAGAGTATCTCAGGCTGGCTGTATATAGTGATACAGAGTATCTCTGGCTGGCTGTATATAGTGATACAGAGTATCCCAGGCTGGCTGTATATAGTGATACAGAGTATCTCTGGCTGGCTGTATATAGTGATACAGAGTATCCCAGGCTGGCTGTATATAGTGATACAGAGTATCCCAGGCTGGCTGTATATAGTGATACAGAGTATCCCAGGCTGGCTGTATATAGTGATACAGAGTATCCCAGGCTGGCTGTATATAGTGATACAGAGTATCCCAGGCTGGCTGTATATAGTGATACAGAGTATCCCAGGCTGGCTGTATATAGTGATACAGAGTATCCCAGGCTGGCTGTATATAGTGATACAGAGTATCCCAGGCTGGCTGTATATAGTGATACAGAGTATCCCAGGCTGGCTGTATATAGTGATACAGAGTATCCCAGGCTGGCTGTATATAGTGATACAGAGTATCCCAGGCTGGCTGTATATAGTGATACAGAGTATCCCAGGCTGGCTGTATATAGTGATACAGAGTATCCCAGGCTGGCTGTATATAGTGATACAGAGTATCCCAGGCTGGCTGTATATAGTGATACAGAGTATCTCAGGCTGGCTGTATATAGTGATACAGAGTATCCCAGGCTGGCTGTATATAGTGATACAGAGTATCTCAGGCTGGCTGTATATAGTGATACAGAGTATCCCAGGCTGGCTGTATATAGTGATACAGAGTATCCCAGGCTGGCTGTATATAGTGATACAGAGTATCCCAGGCTGGCTGTATATAGTGATACAGAGTATCCCAGGCTGGCTGTATATAGTGATACAGAGTATCCCAGGCTGGCTGTATATAGTGATACAGAGTATCCCAGGCTGGCTGTATATAGTGATACAGAGTATCCCTGGCTGGCTGTATATAGTGATACAGAGCATCCCAGGCTGGCTGTATATAGTGATACAGAGTATCTCAGGCTGGCTGTATATAGTGATACAGAGTATCCCAGGCTGGCTGTATATAGTGATACAGAGTATCTCTGGCTGGCTGTATATAGTGATACAGAGTATCTCTGGCTGGCTGTATATAGTGATAGAGTATCTCAGGCTGGCCAGGCTGGCTGTATATAGTGATACAGAGTATCTCTGGCTGGCTGTATATAGTGATACAGAGTATCCCAGGCTGGCTGTATATAGTGATACAGAGTATCTCTGGCTGGCTGTATATAGTGATACAGAGTATCTCTGGCTGGCTGTATAGTGATACGGAGTATCCCAGGCTGGCTGTATATAGTGATACAGAGTATCTCTGGCTGGCTGTATATAGTGATACAGAGTATCCCAGGCTGGCTGTATATAGTGATACAGAGTATCCCAGGCTGGCTGTATATAGTGATACAGAGTATCTCAGGCTGGCTGTATATAGTGATACAGAGTATCCCAGGCTGGCTGTATATAGTGATACAGAGTATCTCTGGCTGGCTGTATATAGTGATACAGAGTATCCCAGGCTGGCTGTATATAGTGATACAGAGTATCCCAGGCTGGCTGTATATAGTGATACAGAGTATCTCTGGCTGGCTGTATATAGTGATACAGAGTATCTCTGGCTGGCTGTATATAGTGATACAGAGTATCTCTGGCTGGCTGTATATAGTGATACAGAGTATCCCAGGCTGGCTGTATATAGTGTGTAGCGGAGTAGAGGTATTATCCAAGGTAGCTCCACTGGTAGACAGGAACAGCAATCCAAGACAGGTACAAAACAGGTAGCGTAGTTACCATCCCTTCCCTCCAAGAACTAGACGACACATAGCTTGGAGGTCAACTGCCAGGTTTATTCACACATTTGCTTTTATGACTTTTTCCCATGCAAGGGAGGTAACTTAACATATCCAATCACATCGTGGTTACCTCCTCTCCCTCTCCTCCCCTTAGATTAACAGTTAAGCTCATTAGTGGGAGCAGAGTTTTCCCCCCTTTCTGGATGTCCCCTAAATACAGGGGGTACGGTGACAAATGAGGGGTCCCCTGGTTGGTCTGGTCTGGGTGAGCAACATACTCAAATTTCACCCAGATCAGACCAGGGGTTCGGGAGTTACAGACATTCAAAGATTTGACCGACCGCAGGGATTTGGTAGCCGAAAACAGCTCCATGGATTCTGGCCCTGCGGTCGGTCTATTACACTGAACTGAAAGTACCGAATGTTCAGCCATCCGGCTCTAATCTTAGGTTCGGATGAATCCCCTAGTCTGGGGGATTCATCCTACCGAACGGCGGGCCGTTCGGCAGTTTGAATCGGGCAGTTCCGTGGTCCTGGAGGTCTGAGCGGTGTCTGGGTAGTCGAGCGCCCGGTTTTAGTTCCAGGCGCTCGACGACCAGGCACCGCTGTTCGGCAGTTAAGATGGCCGCCGCCACGTGGTTTTTATGCGAACGGCGGCCACCCACGAACCCAATTACCTCTCTGGCAACATTGTTTCCCTCTATACAGGGGAAGCACACGACCACAGCAGGGTGGTCGTGCATTCGGCACTTTCCAGCGATTATTAGGACAAATACAAGGGAATAATAATGCAGGTACAGTCTCTTGTGGCTGCTTCTGCCACAATGCTCCCCCAGAACCAAGCCAGCATACACAGTCTGATCCCAACGGATCGGCTTGGGGATGTCTGGAGGAGTACTCACAGATCACTTGTCCAGTTCAGTTTGTCGAGATAACCCGTCGGCATTTCCATTGAGCTTCCCCGGGCGATATTGGATGGTGAAATCAAAGGGCTGTAGCGCTAAGCTCCAGCGCAGCAACCTGGCATTGTCCCCGGACACCCGGTTCAGCCAGACCAACGGGTTGTGATCTGTGAGTAGTGAGAATGTTTGCCCATACAAATAGGGCTGCAGTTTCTTGAGGGCCCACACCACGGCAAGGCATTCCTTTTCGATGGCGGCGTAGCTTACTTCTCTGGGTAAAAGTTTTCTGCTGAGGTAAGCTACCGGATGTTCACCGCCATCGGCTCCGATCTGGCTCAGTACTGCTCCCAATCCAAACATGGAAGCGTCTGTGTGGACGAGAAAACGTTTAGTTGGATTGGGAGCAGCTAACACAGGGGCATTAACAAGAGCATTTTTCAGGAGCTGGAACGCCTGTTCACACTCTGGGGCCCATACTACTAATTTCGGGAGGTTCTTGCGGGTTAAGTCGGTAAGGGGCTTGGCTAGGGCGCTGTAGTTAGGTACGAACTTTCGGTAATACCCTGCGGTCCCCAAAAAGGCTAGTACCTGGGTTTTAGTGTGGGGGGTTGGCCATTTAGCTACGGCCTCTATTTTGGCTGGCTCGGGTTTTTGGTGGCCGCTGCCCACTCGGTGTCCTAGGTATTGGACCTCGGCCATCCCTATGTGACATTTACTGGGCTTGAGGGTCAGGCCGGCTTCTCGGATGCGGTCTAGTACTGCCCCGATATGGTCCAGATGATCTGCCCAGGAATAACTAAAGATGGCTATGTCGTCTAAATAGGCACACGCGTACTCCTGAAACCCGTCTAATAATCGGTCCACCATCCTCTGGAATGTGGCCGGGGCGTTCTTCATCCCAAAGGGCATGACCCGAAATTGGTACAGGCCAAATGGGGTGACGAAGGCCGATTTGGGAATAGCGTCCTCGGCTAGAGGGATTTGCCAATATCCCTTGCAAAGATCAATGGTGGTTAAGTATTTACCCCTAGCCATTTTGTCTAGTAACTCGTCTATCCGGGGCATGGGATAGGCATCGGACACGGTTTTATCATTGAGTCTCCGGTAATCCACGCAGAAGCGGGTAGTTCCATCCCGTTTCGGCACGAGTACTACGGGGGATGCCCAGGGGCTATCCGAAGGCTCAATTACTCCTAACTGCAACATTTCTTTCAACTCTTTGTACATGTTCCCCCTCACCGCTTCAGGAATGCGGTAGGGCGGTTGGCGGAGCGGGGTCGAGTCTAGGGTTTCTACTCGATGGGTAGCTAGCGGGGTATATCCCGGGAGGTTGGAAAAAGTGGCTCCTTTTTCCCTAATTAGACTTTGGGCCTGAGCTCTTTCCTGAGGATCCAAGCGCTCCCCTAACTGTACAGCGGCTAGATCCTCCTGCAGAGTTCCTCGGGCCAGCATATCAGGGAGGGGTAGGTTATCTGCGTCCTCCGCAGCTGAGGCGCAGATGGAGGATACCTCCTCTGTGCGCTGGCGGTAGGGTTTTAGCATGTTTACATGGAACATGCGTTTACCCCCGGTCCCGGCGCAGGGGCCAATTATATAGGTGGTATCACAGATTTGCTCTACCACCTGGAATGGGCCCTGCCAGGAAGCCTGCAGCTTATCAGTAGTGACGGGTCGTAGGACTAGTACCTTCTGGCCGACCTGAAAGCTGCGGTCCCTGGCTCCCTTATCATACCATCGGCGCTGGCGGGTCTGAGCCGCCTGGAGGTTGTCGCGCACGGCCCGGGTCAACGCCTCCAAGCGGTTCCGAAACTCCAACACATAAGGTACGATAGGGGTGCCGTTAATTGTCGTTCCCCCCTCCCAGTGTTCCCTGATTAGATCTAGGGGTCCCCTTACTCTCCTGCCGAATAACAATTCGAAAGGGGAGAACCCAGTGGACTCTTGGGGCACCTCTCGGTAGGCGAACAGGAGGTGGGGTAGGAACCGCTCCCAGTCTTTCTGGGTTGCTACGAACGTGCGAATCATCTGTTTTAGCGTTCCATTGAAACGTTCGCAGAGGCCATTGGACTGGGGGTGGTAGGGGGAGTTAAGGATAGCTTGAACCCCGCATACTTTCCACAGCTGGTGAGTGACCTCAGCGGTGAATTGGGTACCCCTATCGGAAATAATCTCCCGGGGTATCCCCATGCGGGTAAATATGCGCATAAGGGCGTCTACTATGGTCTCTGCATGCACATTGGTTAGGGCCACTGCTTCTGGGTATCTAGTGGCGTAGTCTACTACGGTTAAGATGTATTTTTTGCCAGACGGGCTCTTTTGTTTCAGCGGTCCGATTATGTCTACTGCTACCCGGCTAAAGGGTTCTTCGATTATGGGCAGGGTGTGTAGTTTGGCCTTGTATCGGTCCCCTCGGTTCCCCACTCTTTGGCAGGTTTCACAGGTATTACAGTACTGCTTAATATCCTGGGATATCCCTGGCCAGAAGAAATTTTGCAGCAG